TCCATCAGTATAAATAGGTGAATGACAGCCATATTAACAACTTGTACAAAGACATATAAGTCAGTGTGTAAAAATATATCTAACCACAATAGCTCACTATACATATATTGCTTTGCTTAAAATAACTTAGAGCTATTCTCATTAGTCTGTTGAAAGTAGACCGATCTGACCAATGGTATGTTAACAATTTTGATGAAGTCATTCTGATAAAGTAAATCGACTGTCTATATCAAAACAACATTTGGTGTTTGTTTATTTTGGCTGCAGATTTGCTTTCTTTTACCCACGTAACCAGTGAATTTAAATGAAAAGGTAGTTGCTAATATTGAAAAACTATGGAAAGCTAACGAATTATAACGTCGTTTCGGATTGTAACACAGTTCAAAAATATATTCTGTTGCCTGTTCTGATAATTTGAATGAAAAGAAAGCATCAGGAAATTCAAAATAATCATTCGTAATGAATAATATAATGAAGAAAATTTACTAGAAGACAATTCACTGCTTACTGATAATTTATTATGAGCAAAACATTTTAAAGTTCTAAATAAACTATGTGACTCGTACAGATATTTTAGTCTAGAGTGAGGATAGATAATCATGATTTTTGGTGGTAATCAAGCCATATTTAGAGTGAACCAAATATTGAAATTAAAAGCTACTAAATTTCTACATGATAATTTAAAGGGAATAGTGCTTTTGCTAGACTTAAATGAACTACTCACAGAATGAGTTCTGAGTCCTAGGTCTGATCAAAATACTTTTCTCTTATAATCTATGCTATTCACAATATTTCATCTCTCTACGGACATGACTATTCAACAAGAGGATTAATCTATCATAAGGCTAATAGAAAATTACTCAGAAAGTTATGAAAAATTTAAGTCATATTATGGAGTAAAATTCAGTGCTAATGATTTTCTAAAGGTTAAGTTTCTTATGAGAATTAAACGATGTATAATGTTACGGATTTTAATTTACCGCCATAAAATACTTACTATAATTACAAAACTTGTTTATTTCTGGCATTTTTGTAAAGTTTTCTTCCAGAGAAGATGGTGTATCACTTCCAAAAATTGACGCTACCTCATCGACATCCGGGTCATTTCTTGGAGGAAAAACATTTGAAAATAGAGGATTCATAGATGTTGGGTAGGTTTGCATAAAATCAATTTCTTCGTCTGCGAATCGTACGGTTTTTCGCGCTATGCGAGGTGATTCGATATTTCTAGCTTCAGGAGATACGTAGCATGTATTCACGACATGCTCATTTGAACTACTATCATCGCCAAAATTGGGTGAAACACAACCGATTTGAAAGCGAACTGTAGTGAGGTCAACACTGTCACGTGCTCCATGTAACGTATAATAAATTTTGTCTTGAAAGGATTCATATGTACCATCAAAATAAGTCTTCGGAGAGAGTGGTCTTGATTTAAGAATACTTCTTGTATGTTTTGCCGCAGAAGTAATCTGTTGCTGTGGTATCGTCTTATCTTTATGACCAGTTTCTTTTTCTTCTGCAAAAATGGAACCATAAATATCTTCAGCTTGCATACTCTGTGAACTAGAAGAATCGTAATTAGTTAATTCACAAGGTGTTGGGTGTAGCGTTGTGTTATTGACATCTAAAATTAAACTTGAGACTTCATCATCTGTACTGACTAGGTTGGATGGATTTTCGTCACAATCTTTCCCTTTTTCCAAAAGACCATACTGATCACCATTATCTCGTGTTTGCTGGGAGGTGAAGTTAACTGTATTTGCTTTAGAAGTAATAGAATCTTTAGCTGGCTGAGGGCAGTTCAATGTGGAATGATTTAATGAGTTTTTTTCCTCCATGTGTGGTGGAATTACGAATTTTAAGGTTTTCTGTGGTGTATGTATTGAAGTTGGACTTCGTGAAGTTAACTAAAAATAAAGGAAATCATAAGAAGAGTGGTGATGTTTAAAAGTTCTTCAAAAATTATGGGCATAATAAATAAAAGTAATGGTCTGGTAATTTATATCAACTTGTAATAAACAACACTACCAAACCACTATAATCTCAAAATACGACCTCAACACGCATCTTGGAAATACTCATTAGTAATTCCCTTAAAAATAAGTAGCCATCATTACTTTTAACTCGAAAATAAATAAAGTTAACAGCAAGGCTACTCAGTGGTCATGATGAACGGTGATTGTTTCATACAACCTGTCGCTTTTTATAGTTTATCTCCCATAAAAGATGAAGATGAAATTTTTAAGTGATTGGAACCAATGATGAGTTCTATCAGTCTCCTACTTATACCTTGCTAATATATACTATACTCACCACCTTTATGTATAATTTATATCAAATCTGAAAATAAATTTAAATTATTTTGCAATATAAAACAATGATCCTTCTAACTAGTGAAATTATTGATGTTTAATTACTTTCATTGAAATCTTACCTTGAGTTTTCGCAGTAGAAAGGCATCACCACTTATCTCGCCACTGGAAAATATCTTTGTTTTTCTTCTAAAATATTTTACCCAAAAAACGTTGGCCTAACTGTCAATTAAGTACCTTCATAACCGAAAACATTGATGTATGTAAAAATAAACCTCACTGCGGTATTTTAGACCTCCAAGTTTGCAGGGTAAACCGACTAGGTTGCTTATTAGTTGAATCACCAAGATTTTACTCTTGAGATCTCGAGTTCAAAGCCCACAACATCTGCTTCTGGCCTCTCAGTTGGATACGAACACTAATCCTAACACAAGCAGTTTGGTTCCTAGCGTTTTACACCGACTTGTCACCTAGTAAACGAGTTACATTATCGTTCACATACCGACATAAGTCACTTGATTTCATAATTCAATATTTATATTATAACTCCGCCTGTAGCTCTTTTAGAGTTACTGCCGATCCCAAGCCCGAGTAAAAGAGTAGGGTTTGGCATGGCGTCGGCAAACCAATCCCGTAGAAAAAGCCTTGCCAAAAAAACGTCAACCAGATTAAACAAATTAAATTATTTAAACTGTGCCCTGGGAGTTGAAGGGAGAATTATGACGCCTCAGGATGAGAGCAAAGATTCTTCGGAAGTCACGAGAACGATGCCCCTTCTAACAACCAGAGCAACAATTTTCATAGGAACATGGAACATCCGGACAATGTAGGAGACCGGAAACACCAGGCAAATAGCGACGAAAATGAGGAGATACAAATTGGCAGTACTGGAAATCAGCGAAACCCATTGGACCCAAGCAGGACAGCAAAAGCTGGATACGGGAGAGATGCTGCTGTACTCCGGCCACGAAGATGGAAATGCTCCATACACTCGGGGAGTTGTTCCAATGCTCTCTAAAGAAGCACGAAATGCACTTGTAGGATGGGAATCTCATGGATCCAGAGTCATCAAAGCATCATTCAAAACAAAGAAGGAGGGCATAACAATGAGTGTTATCCAGTGTTAAACACCAACCAATTATAGCGATGGAGACGATGAAGATCAGTCTTATGAGAGTCTGAAGTCGGTCGTAGAGAAGTGCTTAGGAAAAGACCTGACTATCCTGATAGAAGACCTACACTCCGAAAGTGGAATGGACAACACCGGATATGAAGATATCATCGGACGACATGGACTGGGAGAGAAACGAGAATGGCGAGAGATTTGCAAACCAATGTGCATTCAAGAAATTGGTTATAGGAAACATAGTATTCACACACAAAAGCATACACAAAGCTACATGGATGTCATCGAACCACACGACAGAGAACCAGAAAGATCATATTTGCATCAATAAAAAATTCTGAAGGACAATGGAAGATGTGAGAACCAGGAGAAGAGCTGACATAGCTTCAGATCACCACGAACTGGTGTTTGCCAAGATGAATCTGAGGCTAAAGAAGCACTGGGCAACTGGAAGAGCAGCATTACAAAGGTTCAATACAGCCATCCTTCCACATACTGACAAACTCAACGAATTCAAGAAAACGCTCAACAACAGATTCCAAGCCTTACAAGATTTACTGGAAGAAGAGGAACTACTATGGGAGACAATGGGAAAGGGATCAAAGAAGCTATAACTTCAACGTTTCATAATAACGACTGGATCACTGTGGAAACCCTGAACAGGATTGAAAAAAGGAGAAACAAGAAGATAGCAATTAACAACAGCCGAACAAGAACAGAGAAAATCAAGACACAAACTGAATACACTACAGCAAACGAACAGGTAAAGACGAGCGTTAGAGCTGACAAGCAGAAATACGAGGAAGACCTAGCAACGACAGTGGAAAAAACTGATAGCGAAGGAAATATGAGACAACTATTTGACACGACGAGGAAACTGACAGGGAAATATAGTAAACGAGAGAGACCGATCAAGGACAAAGAAGGCAGGCCAACCACTGAAATCCAAGAACAGAGGAACATATGGGTAGAGTACTTTGAGGAACTGTTGAATAAACCAGCTGAATTGAATCCACCGGACATCGAAGCAGCACATGCAGACCTATTTATAGATGTCACTTCACCAACGACCGGAGAAATCTCGATGGCCATCAGATAAATCAAGAGCGGGAAATCAGAAGGACCTGGCAATATATCAGCTGAAGCACTGAAGTCAGATATAGATGCAACTGCAGCCATGCATCGCCTTCTATTCAAGAAGATTTGGGAGGAGGAATAAGTGCCGACAGACTGGAAAGAAGTACATTCAATCGAGATACCAAAGAAGGGAGATTTGAGCAGATGTGAGAAATACAGGGGCATCACACTACTGTCAGTGCCAGAGAGTCTTCAATAGAGTGTTGATTAACCGGATGGAAGACGCAGTAGACGTCCAACTTCGAGATCAACAGGTTGGATTCCGTAAGGGTCGGTCGTGCACAGACCGAATCGGGACACTACGGATCATCGTCAAACAATCAGTTGAGTGGAACTCGTCACTATACATCAACTTCGTTGACTAGGACAAGGCGTTTGATAGTGTATATGGGAGAACATTACGGAAACTTCTTCGAAACTATGTAGTCCTTGAGAAGATTGTAAACATTGTCCGGAACTTATACGATGGGCTACACTGCACAGTCGTGTACGGAGGACAGGTGATAGATGCATTCCAAGTGAGAACCAGAGTCAGACAAAGTTGCTTACGCTCCACCTTTCCCTTTCTTCTGGCGGTTGACTGGACTATGAAGACCTTGACATCTGAGGGAAAGCACGAAATACAATAGACAGCTCGGAATCAGTTAGACGATTTGGACTTTGCAGATGACCTAGCTCTTCTTTCCTTTACACACGAACAAATGCAGATGAAGACAACTAGTGTAGCAGCAGCCTTTGCATCAGCAGGCTTCAATATAAACAAAGTAAAAAGCAAGATTTTCAAATACAACACGTAGAACACCAACCCAATCACTCTTGATGGCGAAACTCTGGAAGATGTGGGAACCTTCACGTACATGGGAAGCATCATCGATGAACAAAGACGATCGGATGCAGACGTGAACGCGAGAGTCGGCAAATCAAAGGCAGCATTCCTAGAGTTGAAGAACATACGGAACTCAAAGCGGCTGTCAATCAATATCAAAGTCAGAATCTTCAATATGAACGTTAAAACAGTTCTACTGTATGGAGCTGAAAGTGGAGAACTTCTACAACCATCATCAAGAAAGTATAAATATTTATAAATAGTTGTCTACCCGAGATACTCAACATTCATTGGCCGGATACCATCAGCAATACCATTCTGTGAAAGAGGAAAAACTAGCTTCCAGCTGAGGAGGAAATTAGGAAAAGACTTTGGAAGTGGATAGGACGTAGATTATGGAAATCACCAAACTGCATCACGTGGCAAGCGCCAACTTGGAATCCTGAAGGGAAGCGAAGAAGAGGCAGGCCAAAGAACACGTTACGTTGGGAAATAGATGCACATATGAAAAGGATGAATAACTACTGAAAAGAGATGGAAAAGATTGCACAGGACAGGTTTGGATGGAGAGTGCTAGTAGCCGGCCTATGCTCCTCCATGAAAAGTAACAGGCGTAAGTAAAAAGTAAAAAAGTACATAGTTTTGACAAGATCGTTTTAAGAACGCCATGTTGTAAGAAAACTATGTTACTTCATATCGATATTTCTAATTCTTTTAAATCATTAGAAAGTGGAGGCATTATTATTACGAAGTGAAAATATTTATAATCGAGGGGAACTGACAGTAGAAACAATATTGCATAGATACTGTTCACGTAATCATAAAATGTATTCTACAGTCAGATTACATTGTCAGTGTCTTACAAGAAACCAAAAAACGATAAGTCCAATATCACTCATGAAATGTATGATTACACGACTTATGAAGAATCATTTGTTTCTCGTTTATAAACGAGATTTTTAATCAATAAAATCTAAGGCATAGCTAAGTCGTTTTTAAACACAAAAAATAATAATAGTATTAATAAATTAGCAAAAATGGACTTTCACAATTTTTAGGTGGTTATTTGTTGTTTTAAGGGTTGACAATACTGCCATTTATATCATATAGCCAGTCATCAAAAGAAATATTTTGATTACAATAGATATGCTATTTATCATCCGTGTCAGATGTTTTATTATAAACTGCGATCTCCCTGAGGAACATGAATGTATACTTTTTCCAAGCCGTAAGAGAAGCAGAGTAAATCTAATTAGATTTGAATTGAGCAATAATAACCATCGTAGCCAGACTTTATGAATTTAATGGCATCATAGAATAACTTCGGTTACTTACAACGTAGAAACGATCGTAAAAATTATTTGGAATATATATATATATATATATATATATATATATATATATATATATATATATATATATATATATATATATATATATATATATATATATATTCATGTAGTTAAATTGTCATACGTTAGATTAGGTGAAATTCATGAAAAAACTTGTAACATATCATGACAGGTTTATAAAAAAAGGAGTTATGTTGGGAGAAAAGTAATGATAGTTGAAAGAATAAACAGATAACTGGGCAAAAAGAAGAATAGAAAAAATTATATATAGGTTCATGGCATAAGATGTAATCCAATTAAATGTTCGAAACCAGAACGATTCGAGACTTACAATGGAGCCTTTTTAAAATCTAGAAATCCTATTTAAACTTTCAAACAGTGATAGCTTTGGCCAGACGCAATAAATTTAAGGTTATATTCTAAACGATTATCTCAACGGATTTGAAGATTTTAATAACGAATTCACTTCTGGATATCTTATGAGGGATCACAATGTCGTTTTCAAGTTAATTATTGGTTGCAGAGCTTGCAAAACAATTGGATCACTGTTATTCTGTCACGACAGCTGTTTCTATTTTATTTAGTTTGAAATAGGCTGACATTCACTCTCAAATTATATTTATAATTTTTTCCCACTCAGCTGGCGATTAGTTTTTGCTTTGATAGTGCCAAGTGGATAAAGCACAAGATATATGAAATCTTCGTCTCAACAGTGACTGAATTTGAGAGAAGTACGTGGAGTTCTAGCAAGTTGACATGAATGTTTTGTGTGTTTGTTGTGATGCCTGGTATTTTGGGTTTCACCCCATGTAGAATCAGTGACTCACATTGTTGTGTAGTTAAAACTAGAACAGAACAGCTTATAAGTGATTTATCGTTTTCAGTAATTTACTATCTGTTTTCAATCCAGGGAAAAGGCTATTTTAAACAATCGCCATAATCCCTAATTTATTGTAGTGCGACATATTTGTTCATCCCTAATTTTTTGAGCATCCAAAGTTCGGTGAAATCTTATTCGCAACAAACAAAAGGTTGACATTCTCGAAACTGTATTAAAGATATGAATCTTGAATGAAACTTCGCTAGCATTTTTCTATTTAGTGCCATTATAAAAAACAACACAAAAACATAAAATTATCTAGGAAAGTAAGACTTCTATGACAGCCCATCTGATTTTCTGCTGAATAACTGAATGAATTTAAGGTGAATTGAGGCAGTGAAAAGGGTTTTCTTTATGTATACTTGAATTAAATTTCTGTCTCAATAAAATTTTTCCTACTAAATTATAGTTTTTGAACATCTTCCTAAACTTAAATCGGAAAGTAAATTTCGGTAGTAAACCATCCAGTTTTACTAGTGTGCTCAAATAACCCACTGTAACACAATATACTTATCGTAAACGCGATTTTCCTTTATGTGCAAATACTTCGGAAGTACGCAGAAAAACTGGATTATTTTAAGATTCTAACAATTATTGATCATATTTTTATTTTCCCTTTAAACGTTCGTTTTAAATCTTACCGTTCACTGAATTATATATTTTACTCCCCCAAAGCCACATCTAAAAGATAACTGACTCAGACATTCAGCTCAGATTGTTAAACCATATTCAACAGTAAAGCTATCTCTGTATGCTAACATTTTTATTCATCTTTTCAATTTCAATATAATCCTTAGACGTTTGCTACCGAACTCACTTTATCCTAATTCCTATCCGCAAATATTATGTAGACAACCATATATCAAAATCTTGTAGCTTACTATTAACCGTATATGTACCTGCATTCTTACTTTACTCTCTATTACATCCCTTAATAGTTGGGATTAATTTTTAAAATAAAAAAGTTAAGTCCATCATACTAGACGTCATTTTAAACGCTAATTAATTGTTTTGCCTTTTCTGCCCTAAGATGTATCCCCATCAGAGGCAAACTTTAGAAAAAAGCTCAAATAAACCCAATAATTATTTAAGGCATTATCAGCCGGATATATCTTTATATATGTATGTTTGTTACAGCATAGATTTTAAACAAAAGAAAGAGTTGATATAAAAATTAGCTCAAAGTTTGAAATTTGGCTGGAAAATTTGTCAACGTTTTTCAGAAAAATATTTGGTACACTATTTTGGACAAGCTATTCAAAGTACTGCATTGTATTCAGTCAAAATTTATCGATGAAAACACAAATTAAGTGATGGAAAGAATGCAGACTCACGATAGAGTTTGTCTACATTTTCAATTGACTTAAAAAAGACGACAATTTTACAAAATATATTGTCTATGGTTTAAATTGAATTATCACTAAGAAATAAACAATTTATATTTCAAACGTTTTTGTCATATTAAACGCTTCACAATCTATCTTGATTCTCACCATCTCTTATTAATTAATTCAGATTTTATAAAATACAGATAAAAGACTGGGAGGTTGTAAAGTAATTTCTGTTAAATCGAATGAATAATTGGTGTTTTGTCTGTTCAAATCGTGTGGCTTTTGATCAATAATCAACTAATTTTACGTTTTAAGTCGTAGCATATTTATACCAAAGAACAATTTATGAGAGTCAAAACACCAAAAATAGTTGAACGAGATGGATAGGTTTTGCGCTTTGATTTCACACGTGTTTCCAACTTCAACATAACTTGATCTTTCGACGTATTTATTCAAAGTAAATACGACAAGATTTGTTGAATAAAGCAAAGTAATCCTATATACTGGATTCTCAAAAGGATCATATGTCTCAAAACGCAAACGAAAATACGATAGTAGCTTTGAGTGATATCTATATTGTTTCTCATAGCTTTGGGTCTTCTGAAGCTTCTGAGAATAGAATAAACTTATTCTATTTCCGGAACCTTGATCGGTTTGGGTCAAAGACAATAGTGAGATGGACGAATTCTTCACGGGATGATCTTAACTTGGAACTTAGGAGGAACTAGGCGGTTGTTTCGTCCTAGCGAGGGACTCTTCAGCAGTAAGCATCAACGATACCGTCAAGTATTGAACACAGGACCTCTAATCTTGCACGAAATTCCTCGACGTCTGAATAGGGGAACCGGCATTCAATGGTATACGGTTCTAGCCATTTTTTATTGATCAAGGTAGGCAACCACAACATCACAAATGCTAACCTAATGTAAAACTAACTGTTAGCCGAGAATGTGATAGAAATTTATTCAAAAACAAAATGAGATTACATTTATCATTAATTATTTAATCATAAGTAGTCTAACTATTTTTTTAGTACACAAAATAAAACTTTCCACATTTTCACTCACATTCAACTGTTATTGCTATTTCTGACTAAAATCTGAACAGTAGGTTACGACTCAATGACAAAGAATGCAACAATTATGCTCATCAATCTCTGAAATATCCGAGAAACATGATTTACTGATAATTTAAACTAATATACGTACAAGTTTGAAGCCCGTTCTATCTTGTAAATGAAATAAGACGAATGTTTCATTGAAGATGACACAGTTTTTCGAAATGCGTAGACATGCACCCATTAACTGAATTTCTTTATGGGGTTTTCCTCCATTTAACGTCCTAGTTCATGTAAGCAGGTATTTAAACACTTATCAAGAATACAAAAAACCTAAAAGCTAACCTGTTTTAAATACAAACGGGGAACGTTCGGGTTTTTTAAGTGTTTTGTTTGGTTATCCTTAAAGGTTTATGATTGTAAAGCCTGAAGTCATTTAAAAACCACTCGGATCAAGTGATAATCGTATTTATTGGAAAAGCAAATAAATGAACCTTAAATGATTTTAACTTAACCTATACCATTCAGCTAAAAATCTTAAAATTGGACATGCAAAAGCATTGTACTTTATAAATGTCTGAGCAGAAATATTTGATAATTTAATATAAGAAAATTAATTGACCAAACGATAATTTCGATCTTAGGGAGAGACGATGTTTTCAAAATGGAATAAAATGCCACTGAAAGAATTCATCCGAAATAGCGACAACTTTTTTTTGCACATGTAATTATGAGACAGTCTAATAAAAAGCAACTAAAAGCATACCAACGATTATGAAAATGATATAGTAAGGTTAAGAAAAATGAATTTAGAAAAAAAAGGAGAGAAGAACATTTACGAAAATGTTGAACTGACCGATTCATCAACTTCTTAGAAATTATTTCTACTCATATTTATTCGACACATAGCTTAATCGAAATGATCTAAGGCATTTTCGCGTAAAAAAGTTTACAATACTGTAGAAATAATTTTTGGGTCCTTACTATCAGTTTTATGAGACTCACATTACTGTACAGGACTAATAAAATAAAGGATTTCTAAGTGAATAACACATGATTTTCTTTATTTTGTTCTGTCTATTTTATAAAATATTTTTATGAATAGGCTGTTCACAAGTCTCACACCTCCGAATCTTGTCATCAATCTCTCTACAACAATCCACGTGAGACAGTACAGATTCACTTGCCTAAGATCTCTATTAGCTTCACATGAATAATTTCTGAAACTGACTCATACGGTGCTTATTACTTGCTTGACCGATTCAACAAAAATGAAAACATCCCTTTTTTTAAGATGAAAAATTTTCTTGGACCCAAGAAACACAAAATAATGTCCTATAAAATATGGAAAATTTTGTGCCTACTTTTGACTTCAAAGGCATGTTGAAAGCAGTTTTCGAAAGAACTAGACGCCAAAATAAAAGTATAATTTATGAAACTGAGTTAATAAAACAAAGTCAAGGTCACGAGTAGTGTTCACAGAATGATAACACAACAACAAAATTGTTATCCAAGAATATGTTTTCATTTTAAATAATCATTAAGATTGCGCTAGTTTCGAAAAGGGCAATGATTTTTGTACTTGTTGTGGTTAAACTTGTTTTGGGTACTTATTGCACTAAAAAGCATTCTCGGTCTACTTTAACTAAGAGTACTTTGGTTAAAGGTTGAAACTTTTTGCTACATTTTGTCCTGAGTACCTTTTTTTAGTCCTTGACTAACACTTGTGTTCACATTGTGATCATTTTTGTTTTTAAACCTTTTAAATCTAATTACAATCGTTGGTAAGACTCACAAATGTGGACAACCAAACTGTTTGTTCTCCGTTGAGGAGGGAATGCAGTGTGACGATTGTAAAAAGTGGTACCACAAAATGTGTACACGCCTAAGTCCGACGGCTTACAAAAGATGCGCGTGTAGCGGTAAATAAATCCCCAAAATAAATAGCACTAAGTTTTCGACATTGGATGCTGACCATATGTTTTAGTGGACTCATCTAGCTGAAGGCGCTCAGTCAGGCATCCGCACCAGATCACGTGTGGTAACGCCGTGCTCAACATCAACCACAATCGCTAGCCAGATTAGATCAGAGAATTCCGATATATTGGTCATCGCCACATATACTCTTCCGATCTCCTTGACTCTGTTTTTTGATTTCTCTGGGTGGGAACGAAATATATTAGAAGGTGTTACTAGTAGAAGCGTTGTCAAACACTGAATACCTGTGACATCATCATTGGTGAGACTGACGTGATCTGGTACACCTAATTGCAACTGTAAGTATGTTCCTTTTTGGGATTTTTATATATCATTGCCTTATTTTTTTATTTTTTTTAAACATTGTGATTTTTTTCGTGTTTTTTCCTGGATATATATATTTTCCCCTCGTTCATTATCGTATTTCATACTTCATCATGACTGAACAGACACCTAAAGTACTCAAGCTTAAGACTTTGTCCCCGCCTTCGTTTCAACTGATGCCTTTCTGGCCCGACAACATCGAAGCTTGGTTTTGCTACGCAGAAGCCGACTTCTCCGAGCACGGCGTGATCGACACACGTGCACAATTCCTCGCAGTAGTCAAGGCACTACCGCGCGAATTCAACAGGTACGTAACACCTAGTATGTTTACTAGTGATGTTTCCGATCCTTACGAAATCTTAAAACGCTCGATTCTTAAACGAGGAGACCTAACCGATCGACAAAGGTTAGATCAACTCTTCAATAACATCGACCTGCAACACGGTTCTGCGACGGACATGTTGCAACGGATGAGAGAGGTAATAGGCCCAAGAACTTTCGACGAAGGTCTATTCAAACAACTCTTCTTGTCAAAACTTCCCCAACAGGTGCAAGCAGTTCTGGTCTCGTTCCAGAACAACGCCTTAGAAGAGCTAGCTGCATCTCCTGACCGCATTTTAGAAATTACGAAATCTACTACCGAGGTATTTTCAGTCAAAGAAAAACCTCAAACGACTCAGAATGATATAAACGACTTATGTCACACACTCACGCGTTATCTTAATTTTCGTACCGACCGTAAGAGATCGCGCACACCACGTAGAAGCATTTCTCGTAAGCGATCTGTCTCTAGACCACGAGAGACAGATAACCCCGACTGGTGCTGGTATCATAATCAGTATGGAAAGCTTTCCAGAAATTGCAGAAAACCCTGCAGTTTTCCCAACACGAAACCGACTGATTCGAAAAACAATTCGGGAAACTTCCAAGCCGGCACGCGTTAACGGCAACCGTAGCCGGCGAACATAGCCGTTTGTTATACGTCACGGATGTGACAACGAGAGTTCGCTACCTCGTCGACACTGGCGCAGAAGTTAGCGTTCTCCCAGCAAATCCTAACGACCGACTATACGAATCGACCCTAAACTTACAGGCGGCAAACGGAAAACCGATCGTTACGTATGGCAAAAGGTACGTTTACCTTAACGTGGGTTTACGCAAACCCATCCACTGGATTTTCGTTGTTGCAGATGTTTCTATGCCAATCATTGGTATGGATCTTCTACAACACCACAATCTGATCATCGACACTCGCAAACGGAGGCTAGTAGACGGAAACACTAATTTGTCCGTTTGCGTAACTTCCTTTACTGGTTGTAGAGTATCCCCAGTCACAGTTAAACATATGATAGACCCACTCTATCAATCACTACTCGATAAGTACCCTGGGATACAACAAACTCAACCGAAACTACCGTGTGTAACCAGCAACGTTACACATCACATCACGACTACAGGACCACCTGTATTCTCTAAAGCACGACGACTAGCTCCTGAAAAGCTAAGGTTAGCGAAAAACGGATTCGATCACATGATGGACTTAGGAATCATACGACCGTCAAGTAGCCCATATGCATCTCCGTTGCACATGGTCCCTAAAAAGGACAGCAACGATTGGCGTCCAACTGGTGACTATCGGCGATTGAACGCGAAAACCATTCCCGATCGTTACCCGTTGCCGCACATTCACGATTTGACAGCTACCTTGAAAGGTACAACTGTCTTTTCGAAAATCGACTTGGTTAAAGCGTATAACCAAATCCCTATGGCTACTGACGACATACCGAAAACAGCTATCATAACTCCCTTCGGACTCTATGAATTTTTGCGAATGCCTTTCGGTCTAAGGAATGCTGCTCAAACATTCCAAAGATTCATAGACGACGTTTTTCGAGGTCTCAACTTCGTACATGCGTATGTTGAAGACTGTCTAATCGCAAGTCCGGACAGAGAAACACATCTCAAGCATCTGGATCTTGTTTTCGAACGACTACAAAAACATGGCATTACTGTAAACGTTCAGAAATGCCAACTCGGAACCGACTCGTTAGACTTCCTAGGACACACTATCGATGCTCAAGGCATTCGACCTCTTAGGACCAAAGTGGCGGCCATTCTGGATTACCCAGAACCGACCACCGTCAAGCAATTACGCACGTTTAACGGCCTGGTAAGTTTCTATAGACGTTTCATACCGAAATGCGCATTACTCATGAAACCTCTGACCGACTAACTTCGTGGAAATGCGAAATCCATTAGTTTGGACGACACCGCACGAAAAGCATTCTCCACAGTTAAGGAACTGATTGCTAAAGCAACAATGCTCGCACATCAGGACACCCGAGCACCCATTAGCATCGCAGTAGACGCATCCGACTCGGCAATCGGAGGAGTCTTACAACAATGGGTTAACAACTCCTGGCAACCCTTGGCATTTTTCTCTAGAAGGTTGCTAGACACCGAATCGAGGTACAGCACATTCGGTAGGGAACTCCTAGCTATGTATTGTGCTGTACGGCATTTTCAACACTACATCGAAGGTCGTGAATTCACTCTTTTCATGGACCATAAACCGCTCACTTTCTCGTTAAGCTCTCCTTCTGACAAGTACTCTCCCCGTGAGTCTCGACAACTGGACTACATTTCGCAGTTTACTTCAGACATTCAACACATCTCTGGAGCAAACAATGTAGTTGCAGACGCCTTATCTCGCATAACTTCCTTGAACAGTTTCCAAGGAATCGACCTTCTTAAACTCGCTGAGCTTCAAAAAGAAGACAGTGATCTTCAGCACGAGTTATCGTCCACAACACTTAAACTACGCATCAAACAGATGGGAACAGGTAAGGAAACCTTACTTTGTGACACATCTACAGGTAGAGATCGCCCAATCGTGCCGAAACATTATCGACGCAATGTCTTCAATACATTGCACAAACTTTCTCATCCAGGTGTTCGTGCAACCATCAAGCTTATAGCAGAACGGTTTTGCTGGCCTGGTATGAATAAAGACGTGAGGGAGTGGGCACGCTCCTGTGTACGCTGCCAAAAACCTAAGGTCATCAGACACAATAAATGTCCCTTAGGCTCGTTTAAAACTCCCGATGCTCGTTTCGACCATGTTCATTTGGATTTGGTAGGACCTTTACCAGATTCAAATGGATACTCTTACCTCTTAACCTGCGTAGACCGTTTCACTCGATGGCCAGAAGCAGTACCTATCAAGGACATCACTGCTGAAACAGTGGCCCGCACCTTCGTCGAACGATGGGTAGCAAACTTCGGTTGCCCTTCAACCATCACTACAGACCGCGGACGTCAGTTTGAATCCGATCTTTTCCGTCGTCTGACCACACTTTTAGGAATCACTCGCTTCCGAACGACCGCCTACCATCCACAAGCAAACGGGTTGGTAGAACGTTTTCACCGACAACTGAAAGCTTCGCTATCAGCTGCAAACGTTTCACAGTGGACCGACGCTCTTCCACTTGTCTTACTAGGTATCCGCAATGCAGTGAAAGCTGACATTGGATACACTGCGGCTCAACTCGTTTATGGAACGACACTTCGACTTCCAGGAGAATTCGTGGATCCTTCGTCCTTTTCGATGAACATGGATCTAACCTCCTACACGAACAGGCTTACAAACGCAATGCGCTCAGTTAAACCTGCTTCCACTCGACCTCAATCAACTGATGTTTTCGTTCAACCTGACTTACGATATAGTACACACGTTTTCGTTCGTCGAGACTCGCATCGACGACCATCCGAATCAGCATACGAAGGACCCTTCAAAGTTCTTCAACGTGAATCTAAGTACTATATAGTCGATAAGAACGGAACCAACGATAGCATCAGCATCGATCGCTTAAAAGCAGCGTATTTAGAAGGAAATCCTATCTACGTGGATTTTCCTTCGGTACAATCGAACGACACGACTCCGACACTTATAATACCTCATCCGACAACCAACACACACGATACTTCGACAGTATCCGAAAATAAATTTAAAACGACGCGTTCTGGAAGAAGGGTGAGATTTCCAGAACATTTAAACGACTATTGCACGTAAGGCACTTCTCGACATGTTATATTATTTTTAAAAAAAAAACAATTTTAATATGCTTATATATTTTTATTTCTATTTAAAAAAAACAAATAAAAAAACAATTTTTTTAACGCTATTACGTGTTCATGAGTTTATTTTCCATTTTTTTCCGCGAACATTGTGTTTTTACACGCATACGAGTGTATTTCCGACATGCACTTACATTTTCTTTTTTCTTTTCCAGGACGGCTGGAAAAAGAACGATGACGTTTATGAGGATCCGAAATTTTCATTGTACATTTTCTTTTTTTACTATGTTGTACCTCCGTCCCATATAGTAAGAAAAGACGACCAGACGCTGCTAAATTTAGTAAGCTATCAGAAGAGTGTTTACCAACGACAAACTCGTTGGGTTTAAACTTCTGGCTGGCCACGTCTTAGGGTCGTCACTGCCCCACTAGGGGGGAAGTGATCTGTAGCGGTAAATAAATCCCCAAAATAAATAGCACTAAGTTTTCGACATTGGATGCTGACCATATGTTTTAGTGGACTCATCTAGCTGAAGGCGCTCAGTCAGGCATCCGCACCAGATCACGTGTGGTAACGCCGTGCTCAACATCAACCACAATCGCTAGCCAGATTAGATCAGAGAATTCCGATATATTGGTCATCGCCACATATACTCTTCCGATCTCCTTGACTCTGTTTTTTGATTTCTCTGGGTGGGAACGAAATATATTAGAAGGTGTTACTAGTAGAAGCGTTGTCAAACACTGAATACCTGTGGCATCATCACGCGAAGCCTAACTCGCATTGGCTTTGTATGTTCTTCGGTACGGATAAAAAGGTACTAATACAGGAGGCTATGGGCCTATTGGCTCTGGCCTGCAAGAAAAACGGCGGAAGCACTGATAACAGGAGCACTGACGATGAAGAATGTGTCAGTGTAGTAAGTGCTGCTACTGGACCCGTTAAACACCTGACTGCGGTTGACCGGAACGTGAAATCTCCGTTGACATTAACGAGGAATGAAGTGTCGCTTGATATTGACATCGGCAGTCATACACCTCTAGTCGAAATAGAAGATCCGGATAAAACTATCACCGTTCCACATAGTTCAAGTGTGGCTGTTCTGAGTGGTGACAAATGGACTTCGGTAAGAAGAAGAAGAAATAAGAAGAAAAAGGCTGTAGGCAAAACGTAGCTGGTCAGCAAGGCATTGGAAGGGATGTTATCAGAAGAAAAATCCTCACTGCCTGACAAGACAGATCTCCCTGATAGATCAGTCATTTTTCATAAGATAAGAGAATCTTCAGACACAGAACCAAAGGCAAGATTTGAACATGATCTCAATCATATTAAGACATCATTAGATAAAATACTCCCAGATACAGTTTCAGGAGTTAGTATTTGTAAGCTTTATAGAATAGGAAAAAAGGTGGATTCCGAAAGTCCTCAGAAAAACCGCCTCCTAAAGGCTACATTCAACACGGTAGAAGAAAGGGACCTGATTCTAAGTAATTCACGTAAACTGGTTGGATCCGGAATATATGTCCGTGAGGATCTCAACCTAGCTGATCGTATTAAGAGACGAGCTGCACAAGCGGAAATGAACGAGCGTCTCCGAAACGGTGAAAGAAACCTCGTTCTTAAGGGTTTTCAAATTGTAAAAGTTTGGAGCAAAACGATCCCCAAGCCACTCTGGGTGGCAAGGGAAAGCTCTCCACAGACTTAAAGGTATGCTACACAAACGCTCGCAGCCTACTAAATAAAATGGCGGAGCTCAAGTCACTGGTGGATAAAGAAAAACCGGACGTCATTGCTGTCTCGGAAACTTGGTTAACGTCAGAAGTATTAGATAGTGAAATCCAGTTGATTGGTTTTTTAACCAGTAGGGCTGATAGAATAAACCGAAGGGGAGGCTGGGTTATTCTGTACACGAAAAGTACCCTAACTATAAGGTTAGCTGAGACAGTAGCACATGTTTCAGGGAATGTGAACTGGTGAGATGTAAGTTGAAATGCTGAAGGCAAGATATTGAAGTAGTTGTAGTATATCACAGTCCAGAATGTGTAGCAGATGATTTTCTCCTAAGTAAACTTTAGTCCTGGTGTAACAACGGTAAAAGCCTTGTAGTAGGCGACTTTAATGAACCATATATAAACTGGGTTAACTTAGAAGTAGGGTCATCGATATCGTCGTTCGAGTGCGACCTGTTAGAAACGTCGACTGGATTAGCATTATCCCAACACATTAGAGATCCCACAAGATACGACTTAAGAAACTCTTCTTTTCTTCTAGATTTAGTCTTCACACACAGTGATAACGTTGGTCAAACGGCTTTTCTCCCACCACTTGGGAGAAGTGACCATGCAGTCATCTTATTCAAATTCATGTCTGAGATTGCTTGTCAAACAGTTGCGCCAGCCCGTCCTAACATATGGAAGGCAGATATGCAGGGAATTAACTCCGCAGCATCGACTGAGAACTGGAAAATTGACTCAAAGGCATCAGTACAAAAGGCATGGACTCTATTCAGGCAGTTATACAATCGGGTAACTCAACCATGCATACCCTGGACTGTCCCAAAGAAAAAGAGGCATGGACATCCCTGAATAGGGCGGGATATTCGACGCTTACTAAGACAAAAGAAATGCTGGGATGTTGCCATCCGCCTTGGCACAGCAGGTACGATGGAACGCTACAGATCGGTAAGAAACGAGTGTATAACTAAAATTCGGGAAGCTCAAAGAAAATATGAAATGCAGCTGGTACAATCTGAACTCAAGCAGCCAAAGAGGATATTCTCGTACATAAACTACAGAACAAGGATGCATCATTGGATTCCCAACGTAATTAAAGTAGGAAGTGAATCTGAAATGATAGAGGAAGATCAGGAAAAAGCAGAGGTTATGGCTGACTATTTTGGGGCAGTTTTCATTCAGGAACCTCCTCTAGAGAAAGAACCGGACTCAAATACAGAGTCAACAAACCGGCTGCTCACCGTGGACTTCGACCAAAACGATGTGCTTAAGGCTCTTAGCACCCTAAACATGGAGAAGTCAACAGGACCAGATGAACTACACCCCAAAATCTTGAGACATATTGCCCAATATATCGCAGCCCCACTGACTGTGATATTCAAAATGTCACTTGACCAACGTGTGTTACCTATGGACTGGAAGGACGCAATCGTCACTACTGTACATAAAACTGGTCTACGACAAGTTCCATCGAATTACAGACCCGTAAGCCTCACCAGTGTTGTAATTAAAATACTGGAAGAATAATCAAACGGACCATAACGGCATTTATGGAAACCAATAACTTGCTGAACATGGCACAACATGGTTTTAGAAAGGGTCTATCCTGTACAACGAACCTCCTTGTAGCAAGGGAGTTCTGGATTAATGCGCTAGACAACAGAAACTCAGTGGATGTTGTCTACATAGACTTCAGTAAGGCTTTTGACAAGGTGCCAACTAATAGACTGCTATTGAAGTTGGCAAACCTTGGTATTGCCGGACCTCTTTTAAAATGGATTAAGGATTTCCTAGTACGTCGTAGGCAAAAAGTAAGAATAAATTCCAAGTGCTCCATCTGGAGACCAGTACTTAGTGGAGTACCCCAAGGTTCCGTCCTAGGTCCTTTACTTTTTATAATGTACGTTAATGATCTTACAAGTATAGTACAGTCTCCAGTGTTATTATACGCTGACGATGTAAACATTTGGCGAGTAATAACCGGAGGCAAAGACGCATTTACTCTTCAGGCAGACTTAAATAATATGATAAACTGGTCTAAAGAGTGGCTAATGCCTATCAACTCGGAAAAGTGTGTCTACATGCACTTGGGGGATTCAAAAGTTAATACGTACAACATAGGGGATGTTTCATTGCCCGTAGTACGGTCTAATAAGGATC